GTTGAGAAAAGGCTAAAAGGAAGACTTCATGATTAGCCAGCAGAATAACGTGAAGGCGAGGATGACGGTCAGGAACAAGAATTGAAGTGAACATCAGACATTCACAAAACATTAAAAAAATACATAACTGCATTGTATTGGAGAGCAGGAACAGCACGCCAATAAGCATTGTATGTGGGTCAAGCCAGTCCATCGTGTCACAGCTCCCAAACGTCATATGCTTCTAAAAGGGCGTACGCAACAGCCATCGATCTATGCAGACAACGATGCGCAGCCTGTCAGTTTTCTTTATATTGTGAACTGACCCCACTACCAAAGACTTGACGGTAAAATTTCCCCTGAGTACTAATTTGTGGTAGACTTAAAAAGGAAAAAGAGCACATTGGCATCCGGTGGACGCAAATGCATGATGGGCACAAAACTTTACGTTGATCGAAGCTCTACACCACTCCAAAACTGGCAGGACTCGACGTTCTTGTTTCCTCTGCCTTCGCGCAACCCGAAATTCCACAAGACCGCTTTCGGCGAAAGGGTATCGCCTTGAAACGACTTCTCCAGTCAACCGGATCTAAACGTTTGGCTCTTGCCAAGAGAGTAAAAGTAATGGCAACTTTACGTTTAACAATGCACCTCGAAACGGTGCTGGGCAACATGATCGATTCTTTTCAACAGCTCGCAGTATATAAACTTTGAAACCCTCTGCAAGAAGTCAGTCACAGTTGCAGAAAGCTCTAAAGGAGAACCTTACCACCATGAAGTCTCTTGTAAGTTCAATACTTCGAGCTTCTACGCCAATGTTTGAATTCTTACCGTCAACGTGAGTCTTGTCCGCTTACGGAAGATACGAAGATGATATACATTCATGTCTACCTACCTGCAGATAACATGTAAACCTTATCCTTAGCATTAACTAAGAGACCATGCACACTGACAGGATGAGAGGGACTCGACTCTTTCCGAAGCCCGGCCTTTATCATGCACCCTTCGTCCCCGTAGTTTATTTACTGTACTTGCACGCTCGAAGCTTATGGGACGTCGAAGCATTAGCGGGGGTAAAAAGCTCGTACCAGAAGCGGGAAAATAAAAGGCCTTCGGCCTTTCTCATTCTGCAATGATGAGGATGCCTAGCGAGAACCATAACCAAATGTAAGATTTTATCTGGTATGCGGAGTTTAACGTATGCTTGGCATCCTTGTTGTCTCTGTGCATCTCTTACCATTTGATTCAATATCGGCCACGTCCTTTGATGATCCGCGTCTGCATACCCTGTGCGTTTTACAAGTATGGTCTCTGGGTGCCTTCCTTTAGCGGTTGATGTGTGAACTTTACTAATGTGAATTGGATTGAATTGAATTGAATTATGTAAACTTTTGTATAGGACAATTTCAGTGTAAAGGTGATACTAAGATGGGTCCCCATTTACCAGACAGCAGCTTTGTTATGCGTATGTGTGTGTGTGTGTGTGTGTGTCCGTGCGTGTGTGTGTGTAGAGTGTATTCCTACCCGGCGTGACAAGAATAGTTTTTGAACAAAATGTTAATTGCATAGGTGTATAGAAAGAACAGATCTCTCCGGACTCCAGGGAAGGTAACACGGAGGTACTTGTTACCGTATCAAGAGCGGTTACAGTTTTATAGCTTTCACAATCTTATTTTGATAATGGTATGATTGGTGTTAAAATTTAATATCAAATAAGAAAGCAGTAATTTCGGTTACCGTAATTACTCATTGTTCAAGGACTTGGAGTACTATATAGTTCTTTCTTTCCAATAGAGAATAAAATGTCCTGGAAGTGGCTACGGTCTTTGATATATATTAACAGCCGTGTTCGAGGAAGCTTCAAGAAGGTCCATCACTTGGGGAACACATGCTACACAAGCTAGATTTTTTTCCTTTAAGAAACTTACAGTGGGTGCAAGAGATCAAATGCGCACTCACGCAGTATATATATATATATCGCTTGAGCGCGCGACAGATACGAATACATATCTGTCCAAACGTGCCACGACATAACCTGCAATAACTGCCTATAATGTATCCCGTCTACGCAGTTATTACGTTTATTAAGTTGTCAGGGATCATAGACTGTGAGTATACATAAGAAATTATTGACACTGACTGCTTAGAATAAAATGAGCGTGGTCACATTCGCACGTCTTATTGCCACAGAGAAGACAATTAAGTTACAGAATCGCCCCACACTAAACAACCAGGAACCAATGAAGAAGTTACCACACCGACAAACTTAGTCACACTGTGATGTAAATGAGTAACCCAGGACGTGTTCAGTTAATAACCAGTTTTATGTGACACTATATGCTGGTTTGTTTTTATTTTTAAGCTCTGCTGCCTGCTCTTGACGGTTGTCCTTGCCGTGGCCCACGCTGGATACGGACATGGTGGTTACGGTGGTCACGGAGGCTACAGTCACGCCGTGACCCACCACTACGACAACCAGAGGGCGCATTATGGTCATGGAGGATACGGCGGCTACGGTGGACACGGTGGATACGGAGGATATGGCGGCTACGGTGGTTACGGTGGTGGCTACGGTGGTGGTTACGGTGGTTATGGTGGGCATGGAGGATACGGCGGCTACGGCGGCTATGGCGGCTACGGCGGCTACGGCGGCTACGGTGGCCACGGCGGCTATGGCGGCCACGGCGGCTTCTTCGGATGAGCGGTTTGACGGTGGGCTGTGCCTGCGGCTGCAATGTAATTTATAAAGGGATCTCCGAAAGGTTTAAAATAAAGAATAAGATTGCAACGTTTGGTCTCAGCTTGTGAAACTTCTCTAGATGATGGCTCTTTGCATGTTCCGATGTTTTCAATTAAATCGTGGCCGCAGGTTATTGTGATTCACCAGTACAGTTGTGATCTTGATAGTGACAGGTTTCCGGCAATTAGTGAAATTCAGAACAAAGAATAGGAGGGGAAAGTTTGGGGATCAATTTCTTAAAGGGAACTTTGAACGTCACTTTCTTCGTTGCTCCAGCGGCAACTGTGCTGGTTGCCGTAGCAAGCGAGATGTGGGGTCTGACATAATAACGTTTGAACTCTACGCAGTGCTTCAAATATGAAAGAATAATAGCCCAAGTGACGCCTAGCTGATATCAGTACGACAGGGCATGCAAACCGGGGTAATTCGTTGTTTATACTTACGGTTCTATATTAAAGTGGAGCATCTGGTTTCAGTGTCTTGTGATATATCGGAATATCTACAAAGAAGACCGAGTGAGTGAGAACACGAATTAATTTTATCAGATCATCGTCTGCCTTGGCTGAGTTATTCATAGGCGAGAGAAGTAATGTTAAGTGGTCGTTGGGTTTGGAGTGGGCGATTTTGTCAATACTAGATGAGGTGACCTGTCACTGACCTTTTCAAGTAATCCACCAGTGAATTGAGGATGGACATAACTTCTATCACTTATCCTTAAATTCTTGTTTTAGAAAGTGCGTGTTCATTCTCGCCCCGTGCGCGCGACGCTCGAGCCTTCTTTTGGCGAATTTTCCAGATAGTGGCGCACTCTAGATAAGAGGCCCCCGGCGACCTTCTCGAGTCAGTCTCGCCTCAGCGTTCGACTCTGCTGTTACGCCGAGTTGGACGCCCGCGAAGCTGTGTTGTTATCCTCTGTTTCTCTTTTTTTTATTTTTGGGCATAAGTTCGCGCCATTAAAGGTTTCACTTTTCCCAGTTATATTTTTGTTTCTTCACTTGATGATTCATGACAATATACTATGAAACTTTTGAATATTACGCCTTTTACAATGCAACAATTTTAAGCAACACCAAAGGTTGGCTGTCAAAAATACTTTGCAAACAGATGCTCTGCGAAAATTGACAGGTGTTGGTGCGCCCATCGTTTAGCACGCCTGTCGATGTCCGCTACCACTTCTGACCAATAGGCCACGCTGTTTTTCAAGCTTTCGAAGGGCACGCCGAGGTAGTTGCACGGTATGCATCTCCATTGAAGTCTTCTATTTCCTCGGTGGTGGTTGCCCACGCTCCATGCTAGAAACCCTTGCAGTTCTGCAGGTTCATTGCAGCCTCGGTGGCTCAACAAAAGCTGCAATTCAGTGCCAAGGCGTGGCTCACGCTTTTCTTATCTGCTAGGAAAAATGCAACATCCTCTGCTTAAGCCAGGACTTTGATTACTGTGCTGTGAAAAGTGTAACCAAGGACAAATGAACTTTTGGGTAAACTTTGACAAACCGGTTCCAGATATAAATAAAAAAAAAGCAACGAGGACAGCGGACATCCCTGCCGCAGCGAAGACTTGACAGGGATGCTTTAAATCACACAATTATTGTCTGCCACGATCGTGTAACATTCTGTATGCGTCATTTTAACGCCCTGTGATATTTGTTTTAACGCCAACTTGTGACAAATTTTGAATATAACATTCTGGTGAACCCGACTGAACGGTTTTACTAAATCGATTGAAAGCATTGCGACCTGAATATTTTCACCGGATACACACTCCAGCGTACTTCTGGCCACACGAACATTGTTCTGGATTGCCCTGCACCTTATTGCACAGGTTTGATGTTCCCCGACACGTTCACAAATACCCGTTTGCCGTCTGCTTGCTAGTATCTTGGCAAATATTGTATAGTCCACATTAAACAATGTAATTTGGCTATAACCATTCACATAACGCAGTTCGTCGTTATCGAATACTTTCGGAAGTAACACAGTGTACGGCCTCGTAAAGGATGGTGGTAGGGTATTTGACCTGAATGCTTCTCAAGAAGTTCTGATAACACACTGGAAACTGCATTCTTGTGCGCTTAGTAAAAGAGAAAAAAAAAAGCAACAAGAGGCGTTAGTTGTTGGTCGGTTTGAGTCGACGCCATGCTTGTTTAATTTATGGCTGTCTCCGCCTGATAGTTGTCCTTGCCGTTGGTCATGGCGGGTACGTTCATGGGCATACGGCTGCCACGAAGTCTACGGCCACGCCGTGACCCATCACTGCGATAACCAGAGGGCGCACTACGGCCATGGAGGATACGGTGGCTACGGACGACACGACGAATATGGAGGATACGGTGGATACGGATGAAACTACCGCGGTGACGGAGGGGGATACGGCGGGCATGGCGTCCAAGGAAGGAACGGCGGCCACGGTGGTTACGGTGGTCACAAAGGACACGGTGGCTACGGTGGCTTCGCTGGCTACGGGGGATTCTTTGGATAGATTGCTCTGCAGCTGTCACTGTGAAAAATTTGTTTCATCTCCTAGTAGTGTCGTAAGGTTTCGAAATAAACGAATATGTATTCGAATATTTTTGTTTGATATCCTCTATTATTTCTTGAACTCTATTAAAAACATACGCGAAGGATGACTCAGTTCTATTCGCATATTGCCTTGAACTCTATTAAAAACATACGCGAAGGATGACTCAGTTCTATTCGCATATTGCCTTGAACTCTATTAAAAACATACGCGAAGGATGACTCAGTTTTATTCGCATATTGCCTTGAACTCTATTAAAAACATACGCGCAGGATGACTCAGTTCTATTCGCATATTGCCTTGAACTCTATTAAAAACATACGCGAAGGATGACTCAGTTCTATTCGCATATTGCCTTGAACTCTATTAAAAACATACGCGAAGGATGACTCAGTTCTATTCGCATATTGCCTTGAACTCTATTAAAAACATACGCGAAGGATGACTCAGTTCTATTCGCACATTGCCTTGAACTCTATTAAAAACATACGCGAAGGATGACTCAGTTCTATTCGCATATTGCCTTGAACTCTATTAAAAACATACGCGAAGGATGACTCAGTTCTATTCGCATATTGCCTTGAACTCTATTAAAAACATACGCGAAGGATGACTCAGTTCTATTCGCATATTGCCTTGAACTCTATTAAAAACATTCGCGAAGGATGACTCAGTTCTATTCGCATATTGCCTTGAACTCTATTAAAAACATACGCGAAAGATGACTCAGTTCTATTCGCATATTGCTTGGTTTTTTTTAAACACCTTATGAACAATTATAGAGTCGACACCCAACGTTGCTGGCGTTAGTTAATTCCTGGAGGAATTTCTTTTACCTTTTCTACACTTTTCTGGCACTTAACATTTCGAAATATTTTCAGATTTTTTTTTGGTTTTCAATATTTTTCTGAATTCTATTCATTTCTGAAAATCTCATGCAAAAAAAAATTATCACATTACATAAATAGACAAATTCAACTTCATACAGCGACAGTAAAACACCGGGCATCCTTACTTTTAGTGAAATTTATGTTCCAGAAATAGCAACAAACTGCGAATGAAGACGAAGGCCTGATTGCAATAAAGATGGAAATATTATGGACGTGCATCTTAGCTGCTGATAGAAATATCCACCGTAGGGGTGGTGTGCACTCAGCGGAAGAGGTAGCAGAAGATTCTCTTACATGAACATGCTTTGTGCGCACTCACGTAGCCTCGCTCCTATCGCCGCACGGCTCAGTGATACGGCGCTGGCCGGCCCTCCGATCGACGCTCCTGTTGTGTTATTAAAAACTTGGAGAGGTGTACAACCCATCTGTGGTCAGTTGGGGTCCCATAAGGGCATACAGGGATCCAGAGTAATGTGGTGACAAAAATCTGAGACTAACATGGCAGAAACAAGACATAAAAATGGGACTCTTACACACGCCGTTTTTGTGTGCGTCCAACTTTTCATGTCTCGCTTTGTTGGATAGTGGGGTAACCAGTTGATCACGGTAGTATCAGCTGGAATCACCAGCTCATCTGTTCACTTTTTATATTAATTTTTTTTGTACTTCATTCAGACGAGTTAGGAAAACCCGCTGTAGGATATATTTTCCCATTTCAATTTATATTTATAATATTCATGTCGGCTCAGTAAGTATCAAGCAAAGTTCGTTCTGAATTGTTTTATATGGCTACCTAATGATTTAGTAAATTGCCTCATGTTTTAAACAGACAAAACAATGTTTTGAACAGACAGACAGTATCCAAAGTGTTACCGGGCGATTCGTGCGCAACTTTGTGTTTTATCATTTTTCTACAATTCTAGGGGGGAGCAAATAACCAATTGACATAATATACTAACTCGTATAGAGTAAGGGTTTAATATTGTGAAAGGGCCATTTACTTTATGATAAGACACTTCCCAGAACCGTCCATCCCGAAAAATTTATACCAAGGGTATATTATCCCAAAACAGTCTATTCAGGCACATTCCATACCGTGATATTTAATACTTAAAAGAGTCATCAAATTAATGTTCGGCTAGGTTGAATTGGGAAATAACTAATTGCATATCGTTTAGTGCGGCAAAATAAAACTAGCGCACGAGCGTAGAAAGCCTAAAGCCTGCTTTTCGGTACAGAAATGTGAAGCAGGAGCGGCCCTATTTCGTACCTCATTTCCTTCGAAAGCTCCCCGCCTTTCCAATCTGATGGACCCGCGGTTCCCAAGCACGTCAGCTGAGCCCAGCTCACGGATTGACCATGAGCACTGCGTAGAACGGATGCATGCACTCGTCAACAATTAATCTGCCTATGATTATTTGAATTTGCGTTCGTGGTCAATGGGTGCCGTGACGGCACTTATCATCACCTGAGAATGACAAGTTGTACGGTGTGCTTAAAAAACAGTGAAAGCTTGGTTTAATCGCTTCCAAAGCACGTCATGGCCACGTGAGTTCTCATTCCGGTTTTGAGTTGGGGATTAAAGCTAAGGAGGAACAAGTTGAAAAATCAGTTCATGGTTCCTTTAATTCCAACGCAGTTAATCTCAAGCTCCTCATAGCAAAGTCATTTTTGTGCCAAGACTTTTGTTTCCAGGACGACCCATGCTATTGGGAACATCTAGTACGCAAACAATTTACATGTCAAAACTATTGAGGCCTTACCAGCAACAAGCTCACAAATGTAACCATGCTCTTGTACCAAAGCCCAATTCCAAGAGGTAAGTGAATCAATCTGGAATCTCGATATCGACAGCGTCACGCATGAATGCCTTAACGGGTACAGTACTTTGCAAGAACAGATCCACAAACGAAGCGACGAGCACGCAGAAGTGCCAAACGACGTACAAACGAGACGCAACTTGTAATAACGGCTGTCAAGGATGCAGAATGACGCAAAACAAAATCAACGAAGCATGGCGAGAGATTTTTACTTCATTATAATCTCTGGGATGAAATTATTTTGGTATGAAGTTTCCGGGATGGACTGTTCAGGGAAAAAATTACATGGGATGAAGTGAGCAAGCCCGGAAACGGCTCACGATATTTCAAAAGCTTTGTTAGTACTAGAAGTCGTGATATAAAACGACCCTAGGATAACTCTTTTCGCGATAATCTTGAAATGATATTGGTATGAAATGTCCGGGTTGAACAATTTGTGGATGAAGTGACCTGGTGTGACGTGCGGTAGATCCATCTATCGACACTAAAAGAAAGCTGCCATGGCCATCTTAAAAAAAAATATCGCACTTTTGAATACGACGAGGTGTACCTCAACAGCTTAGAACGAGGTCTTTAGACGAATTTTGCAAGTAGTGCATTTTACGTACGGTAGCATAAAACCTCCAAATACATTATAGGTACCCTAGTGATATCAATTACATACATATATTCAAAAAACACATAAACACATAAGATTATGTAAGAACTCACAAAAGCCATATATAACGGAGATAATTTTTATGTTTCTTTGAACTCATGAAGTATGATTATTCCAGTTTTACTACAGTATATAATGACGAGAATTAGGATTGAACGGCTGTTTATTTTCAGTTACCTTTATTTATTTGCTCTCTCTCTCTCTCTCTATGATTGACTATTCCTTGCACATGCACATCTTGACTTATTCTGAATTCAGAGTAGAAAATAAGCAGGTTGCTCGGGGAGGCTGGGAACAGTGTTCAAACACTCGTTAGTAAAAATGGAAGAAAAATATTCGTTAAACACTGTAGCAATGTCTCTCTCTGGAATGGGATCGCCGTTGTCGGTACGTAGTTGGATGGCAGAGTTGTTGTTCTTCGGTGAAACCAGATTCCAAAACTTTCTCGGGTTACTCCTCAAAATGGACAGTAAGTCATTAAAAAAGAATTTATTCTTGGCTTGTTTTATGCTCCTGGTGTAGTTTTTTAATGCAGAATTGTAGACATCCCAAGACTGGCTGGTATCTAACCGTTTGGCCTTTGCAAAAAGTCTTTTTTTCTTGTTTCGCAAAGAAAGCAAGGTTTTTGTAAACCATGGATTACCTAAATCGGTGCGTACACGAACTGTAGGAACAAACATTTTTACTAGATGATTCATTTTAGTTTTAAATAATGTCCAGTTTTCTTCTACAGATCTAAGATGAAAATGAACGACGTAATTGTCAAAGAAGATTGCCAACTCGCGGTTTATCGAGATATAATCAGCTTTGTTATAATCGTGAATAGTTTTGGAAATGGGATGCTTGGTTAGAGTGGGGAGTGATAAATCAACATGCAGCAGCCTGTGATCACTGAGCCCGTCACAGTACTGGATACACTTGACAAGATCCGGTGACGTAGTTAGTATTAAATCGAGAATATTTCCCAAACGAGTTGGTTTATCAACAAGCTGTGTAAGGTTCAGAGTAAGACACATGTCTAGAAAGTGTGCGGATGTGGCCGAACCTACGGATGAAAGGTTTGACCAATCGATTTGTGGAAAATTAAAATCACCAAATAACAACATATCAGCCTTTGGAAATCGATCTCGTATATCAAGTAAGACAGAGCATAGATCAGTATGAAATGATGAAGCACAATTTGGTGGCCTATAACATACGCCCACAATGACCTTATTTGATGGCGTACAAACACATATGCAAGTAAATTCCAAGTCATGGTTCGCTAAACAGATATCAAAAGAAGATATAAAACTCTTTATTGCGATAAGCACACCGCCGCCCCTCTGGCCATGCCGGTCGTGGCGGAAGACTTTGTAATCTAAGTTTCGCGGAAAAAGCTCCTTATCTTCGATTTCAGGGTTTAACCAAGTTTCTGTCAAAATGACTAAATCTGATGAGCTGTCCTCCAATACACTGTGAAACTCGTCGCGTTTTGGCATGAAGCTGCGAATATTAGTGAAAAGAACAGAAAGGCTTTTGTTTTTATCGCGCAAGGCGGCATAAGGGGATGGCGGTAACGCTTTGTTTTTGCCAGAAGCATGTAGCTATGAAAATTCAACAACTGTTTGAGATTCCGAGTTAAAAATAAAACGCTTGTTGTCCGCATGCAGTTTGTTAAAACGCACTTTAAACGGCACGTTCATACTCCTACCATACTCAAAAAGTTTGGCACGGGCAACTCGCACAGACGCAGAAAAATCTTCGCGTACAGCGTAATGGGTGCCTTTCAGTTTGAACCCACAGGCCAGGATGCTCTCTTTTTCTTTAAATCGGGCAAACTTGACTATTATTGGCCTAGCTTTCTGGGGCTCGAATTTCCCTAGGCGGTGCGATCTTTCTAAATTTGCGGGATCCAGCTGGATTCCCAGCTTGCTCGAACAAAACTCGATAATTTTTTGTTCCGACTGCCCCCATGTTTCGGTGCTGTTATCTGGGCAGCCAAAGAACAACAGATTTGACCTCCGAAGCCTATTTTCGTTGTCATCGCACTGCTTCTGAATATTCGCTAGGTCAACAGGAAGATTTTCATCATGGGGGGTTAGAGATGCAGAGTTCCTATCAGCCAACCTCGTTTCAACAGCACTCATCCTTGAAAACAATTGTTGGACAGATATCTCGGTAGCCTTTTGTCCGCTCTCCAATGACGAGACTGTTGCCAGCAAATTTGTCTGAGCAGCCTCGATTCTCTGGACAGCTGCAAGAATACTTGTGATTTGCTCACTATCGGTTAGTGGTCCTGGGTTTGCCTCCACGTCTCCGGACATTAACAAAAGGAGCCGAGAAACATAAAAAATGTACGAGTACTGCAAACAGTAAAAACACAGCCACTTTCGCCAGAAAAGGTCGTTGAGTTGGGGCACGACATCGCAATAAAATTCGGATTTCTACTTCGAGAACAAACTGCATTCGGAAGGTAACCAACCTGAAGAAGGGAGAGGTTTTGCATCGCTGTTTGTCTGGCGACGCCGTGCCCCAACTGGCCATCCATCCCGGTCGGCTTATGTAGCCACCCGTCGGGGTAGGAACCATGTGATGTTACAGTGCTTGAGTGTTGCCAGATGCTGATGTTGAACGCCTCCTGGTGGATCCAAGTTGGTGGCGAAAACGCTCGAGGAAATGCCGTGACACTCTCGATGACAACAGATGACGTGTCCCAAGCCAGGAGATGACGATGCAGCAGATTTCCTGGCGGGATCGCAGAAAGGGCCGCAGTCACCAACACCTGAAGAAGGGAGAGGTTTTGCATCGCTGTTTGTCTGGCGACGCCGTGCCCCAACTGGCCATCCATCCCGGTCGGCTTATGTAGCCACCCGTCGGGGTAGGAACCATGTGATGTTACAGTGCTTGAGTGTTGCCAGATGCTGATGTTGAACGCCTCCTGGTGGATCCAAGTTGGTGGCGAAAACGCTCGAGGAAATGCCGTGACACTCTCGATGACAACAGATGACGTGTCCCAAGCCAGGAGATGACGATGCAGCAGATTTCCTGGCGGGATCGCAGAAAGGGCCGCAGTCACCAACACCTGAAGGAGGGAGAGGTTTTGCATCGCTGTTTGTCTGGCGACGCCGTGCCCCCTAGATTAGTTTACATTTAGATTTGTTTAATGGCATCAGCCACTCTTCGCACCATTTATTAATCTCTCTCTCTCTCTATGATTGACTATTCCTTGCACATGCACATCTTGACTTATTCTGAATTCAGAGTAGAAAATAAGCAATGTTTGTGATAGAATATAAATAGAGAAGTTATCATGGAGTTTTTTTATCATGGGGTTGAGAAAAGGCTAAAAGGAAGACTTCATGATTAGCCAGCACAATAACGTGACGGCGAGGATGACGGTGAGGAACGAGGATTGAAGTGAACATCAAGCATTCACAAAACATTAAAAAAACACATAACTGCATTGTATTGGAGAGCAGGAACAGCACGCCATTAAGCCTTGTATGTGGGTCAAGTCAGTCCATCGTGTCACAGCTCCCAAACGTCATATGCTTCTAAAAGGGCGTACGCAACAGCCATCGATCTATGCAGACAACGATGCGCAGCCCGTCAGTTTTCTTTATATTGTGGACTGACCCCACTACCAAAGACTTGACTGTAAAATTTCCTATGAGTACTAATTTGTGGTAGACTTAAAAAGGAAAAAGAGCACATTGGCATCCGGTGGACGCAAATGCATGATAGACACAAAACGTTCCGTTGATCGAAGCTCTACACCACTCCAAAACTGGCAGGACTCGACGTTCTTGTTCCCGCTGCCTTCGCGCAACTCGAAATTCCACAAGACCGCTTTCGGCGAAAGGGTATCGCCTTGAAACGACTTCTCCAGTCAACCGGATCTAAACGTTTGGTTCTTGCAAAGAGAGTAAAAGTAATGGCAACTTTACGTTTAACAATGCACCTCGAAACGGTGCTGAGCAACATGATCGATTCTTTTCAACAGCTCGCAGTATATAAACTTTGCAACCCTCTGCAAGAAGTCAGTCACAGTTGCCGCACGCTCCAAAGGAGAACCTTACCACCATGAAGTCTCTTGTAAGTTCAATACTTCGAGCTTCTACGCCAATGTTTGAATTCTTACCGTCAACGTGAGTCTTGTCCGCTTCCGCAAGATACGAAGATGATATGTCTACCTACCTGCAGATAACATGTAAACCTTATCCTTAGCATTAACTAAGAGACCATGCACACTGACAGGATGAGAGGGGCTCGTCTCTTTTGGATGCCCGGCCTCTATCATACACTCTTCGCCCCCCGTAGTTTATTTACTGTACTTGCACGCTCGAAGCTTATGAGACGTCGAAGCATTAGCGGGGGTAAGAAGCTCGTACCACAAGCGGGAAAATGAAAAGGCCTTCTGCCTTTCTCATTCTGCAATGATGATGATGCCTAGCGAGAACCATAACCAAATGTAAGATTTTATCCGGTATGCGGAGTTTAACGTATGCTTGGCATCCTTGTTGTCTCTGTGCATCTATTGCCATTTGATTCTATATCGGCCACGTCCTTTGATGATCCGCGTCTGCATACCCTGTGCTTTTTACAAGTACGGTCTCTGGGTGCCTTCGTTTAGCGGTTGATGGGTGAACTTTACAAATGTGAATTGGATTGAATTGAATTGAATTATGGAAACTTTTGTATAGGACAATTTCAGAGTAAAAGTGATACTAAGATGGGTCCCCATTCACCAGACAGCAGCTTTTTTATGTGTGTGTGTGTCTGTCTGTCTGTGTGTGTGTGTGTGTGTGGAGTGTATTCCTACCCGGCGTGTCAAGAATAGTTTTTGAACAAAGGTTAATTGCATAGGTGTATAGAAAGAATAGATCTCTCCGGACTCCAGGGAAAGTAACACAGAGGTACCTGTTACCGTATCAAGAGTTACATTTTTATAGCTTTCACAATCTTATTTTGATAATGGTATGATTCGCGTTAAAATTTAATATCAAATAAGAAAGGAGTAATTTCGGTTACCATAATTACTCATTGTCCAATGACTTCGAGTACTATATAGTTCTTTCTTTCCAAAAAAGAAGAAAATGTCCTGGAAGTGGCTACAATTTTTTATATATATTAACAGCCGTGTTTGAGGAAGCTTCAAGAAGGTGCATCACTTGGGGATCACATGCTACACAGTCTAGATTTTTTTTCCATTAAGAAACTTACAGGTGGTGCAAGAGATCAAATGCGCGCTCACGCAGTATATATATATATATATATATATATATATATATATATATATATATATATATTGCTTGAGCGCGCGACAGATACGAATACATATCTGTCCAAACGTGCCACGACATAACCTGCAATAACTGCCTATAACGTATCCCGTCTACGCAGTTATTCCGTTTATTAAGTTGTCAGGGATCATAGACTGTGAGTATACCTAAGAAATTATTGAGACCAACTGCTTAGAAACAAAATGAGCGTGGTCACCTTCGAACGTCTTATTGCCACAGGGAAGACAATTAAGTTCCAGAATCGCCTCATACTAACAACCAGGAACCAATGAAGAAGTTACCACACCGACAAACTTAGTCACACTGTGATGTAAATGAGTAACCCAGGACATGTTCAGTTAATAACCAATTTTATGTGACACTATATGCTGCTTTGTTTTTATTTTTAAGCTCTGCTGCATGCTCTTGACGGTTGTCCTTGCCGTGGCCCACGCTGGTTACGGACATGGTGGTTACGGTGGTCACGGAGGCTACAGTCACGCCGTGACCCACCACTACGACAACCAGAGGGCGCATTATGGTCATGGAGGATACGGCGGCTACGGTGGACACGGTGGATACGGAGGATATGGCGGCTACGGTGGTTACGGTGGTGGCTACGGTGGTGGTTACGGTGGTTATGGTGGGCATGGGGGATACGGCGGCTACGGCGGCTATGGCGGCTACGGCGGCTACGGCGGCTACGGCGGCTACGGCGGCTACGGCGGCTTCTTCGGATGAGCGGTTTGACGGTGGGCTGTGCCTGCGGCTGCAATGTAATTTATAAAGGGATCTCCGAAAGGTTTAAAATAAAGAATAAGATTGCAACGTTTGGTCTCAGCTTGTGAAACTTCTCTAGATGTTGGCTCTGTGCATGTTCCGATGTATTCACGTAAGTCGTGGCCGCTGGTTATTGTGATTCACCAGTACAGTTGTGATCTTGATAGTGACAGGTTTCCGGCAATTAGTGAAATTCAGAACAAAAAATAGGGGGGGGGGGGGAAAGTTTGGGGATGAATTTCTTAAAGTGAACTTTGAACGTCACTGTCTTCGTTGCTCCACCGGCAACTGTGTTGGTTGCCGTAGCAATCGAGATGTGGGGTCTGACATAATAACGTTTGAACTCTACGCAGTGCTTCAAATATGAAAGAATAATAGCCCAAGTGACGCCTAGCTGAGATCAGTTTGACAGGGCATGCAAACCGGGGTAATTCGTTGTTTACACTTACGGTTCTATATTAAAGTGGAGCATCTGGTTTCAGTGTCTTGTGATATATCGGAATATCTACAAAGAAGACCGAGTGAGTGAGAACACTAATTAATTTTATTAGAGCATCGTCTGCCTTGGCTGAGTTATTCATAGGCGAGAGAAGTAATGTTAACTGGTCGTTGGGTTCGGAGTGGGCGATTTCGTCAATACTAGATGAGGTGACCTGTCACTGACCTTTTCAAGTAAACCACCAGTGAATTGAGGATGGCCCTCCTGTGCTGTGGTGAGCACTTGTGTCGTATCTACTTGTCTAAAGTCGTCAGTCTGCTTTTTTCTTTGAGAGCTTCGAGCTCTTTACTTTTCTGTCTGTCTATAGGCTAGTCCATGGAAATTCCAGATTATGGGTAGCAGAGTTGTTACGTTGTTCACGATGCAGGTCTTGCACATGGTCTCTTCAGGTTCCTCAAAGGAGAGAGAAGTTATCATCACGTTACATGTTAAGTAGATTAAAAAGTTAACAAATTTGCCATGCCTGAATGTTTTGTTTACGCGGAAGCCCTGGACAGACTTCACCTTGAACGTTAATGCCCGTTTCTTTTTTAATTGCGTCCTTGCTGAAATGCTGGAGTGGTCACGCTGCTACGCTCTCACGAAGAACATTCTAGGTGTTCCAGCTCACAAAGACCAACATACGTACAAAATACGCGCAGAGAAAATAAATAGAGCCGTTGAAAAAAATCCAAGCCGCTTCCGAAAACAAATGTTTCGAAGTACACCAGCGGGAAAATTGCTCTTGCATACTCTGGGCGGCGTGCTTTACGCTTTCCCTCTGGACACATTTTTCGCCGTCGATTTGTTTTACTGTCCTCGCTCTTGGAATGCCGGGCTAACGTTGGGAAAATAAAAACGGGTCAAGCATTAGAGTCGACAACCATTTTGGGGGTGAAAGTTAATTCTAGGGGGAGGGTGGGGTTCGCAAGTTCGACGCCGGGGTATATATAAAGCTGGCTTCAACACCGCGAATATCACCGTCACTTGTTTCCACCGTAAAGACTCTTGGAAGTACTTCGGTCACCCCACCATCGTCAACGCAAAAAATGAAGACTACCGTGAGTTTTCTGAGTGCTTCTACGTGATGTGTTCGCACACCGTTGGATATTTGTTTATAGGGGATAACAGTGATTCGGGCTAAAGCGTGCGCGTTTATAAATCGGAAAACATTATGCAAGATTGCGGAAGGACGTAAGCTCTTAGTTTCTCTTCTATTTATTTTGCCCTGCCAATTGCCATGCCATTGCAACTGACAGCCTAAGAATTGGAGGGCGTGGCCCGTCCCGAAGATCTTATCTCTTTAAAACCAATAAGATTGCGGCCTGAGCAGATAAGAACGACAAAGAACCAGTCACAACGTGAGAAGCGTGACCATATTAGTCCACGTCCGGAGTCTCTTAAGTGGTCAGTGATTATAGCAATAACTATATAGTTTGTGACAGTCTCAGAAAGGCAGGGTGCGGATTATTCATTATGTCCAAGTTTGTTCCTCTGTGACTAGATCTTCAGCGTTCTTATCAGTTGATACTGCAATGTCAATTGTGTGCGAGCAATGATACGATGAGCGGGGCTCGGTACGCCTTGCGGTTCGGACGCAGTCAGTGATTATGTGGAGGGCAAGTTTGTCTGTTTTTTCTCGCAGGGGGTGGGAGTGACGTCAAAGAGACGTCGAGTTCTTAATAATTCTGATTGAAGGAGAGTGGGTATGGGCCTCAAGGCAGCTTGATTTGAGGTCTATACCCACTATTCTTCTTCAATCGGAGCCAATCAGAGCTCGGCGTTCTTCTGACGTCACTACTATCCCTACAAAAGAAGCAGACCAACATGCGCTCCGCATGCATTCTATAGACGCTCTGCTCGGAGTCACCAGATAGAAATAACCTACGCGCGGTAACGCTTTCTCTACGTTGCCGTTCGCTGCGTAGCATACCGCAGTGATTGGATACATATATCAGCGTTACGCCAGGAAGTGAACGGGCTGTCTGTATTTGTGTAGGTAACTATACGCTACGGTCCGTTTCGCTTTACGTCCGACAGCAGCCGACAGTATACGATCCGATAGAGCCATATTAATGCAGCGCCAAAATGTGCCTCGTTACGGCGCTCGTCGCTTTTATGCGTTTGCTACCACCAACTAAATCAATCTTGCGCACAATAAATGTTCCGCGATCTTAAATTTTTTTGTGTTTATTCTTTATGCGTGATTGGCCAAACAAGTGATAACAAATCCACAAAGGCAAGGAGCGTCGTGCAGATTCCGTAGGACCGAGGTCTTGCGATCTCTTACGACGAAAAGACACACACACTGGCACGCTGGCCCCACCTATATATATATATATATATATATATATATATATATATAAGGTAGAACTGTCTTTTATTAGTGCGAAGGTTTCGCAGCATTTTGCTGAATTAAATGTACTCTCTATAAGAAATGGTCGTTTATGACGGAAGCTTGTGGGAGTTGATGATTCATCTTAAGATTACAGAGCACTAGACGAGGGAAAAAAACAAGAGATACACAAAGACACAAACACAAGCGATGATTTTTTTTATTAATCTTCTGCTTCTACTTCTTCGCGATACTGTTTACATACCAGATAGGTTAAAAAGAAAAAAAAAAGGAAACAAAATTTTCTCGTCGCATTGTCTTGGTGGCGCAAGTTGCCGCCCGATTGAAGCCGTTCATCCACATCCATGTACTCATCCATCCTTCTATCCATGCATCCATTTTTTAGAAATTCCAGGAGGTTTCAAAGCACATGGTCGTAAGCAGTAACAAGAGTTTGAATCAACATTAACGGTGTACAATTCTGCAGCTGTGCACATTGGTTGTTCTGGTCTGCATCGCCCTGGCTTCCGCTGGATACGGTGGCTTCGGCTACGGTGGCCTCGGCTACGGAGGTCTCGGCTACAAAGGCTACGGAGGCTACGGAGGCTACGGTGTCGGTCTCTCCTACCACTTCGACAACCAGAGGGCGGCACCGTACTTTGGTTACGGCGGATACGGTGGATACGGCGGGTACGGTGGCTTCGGCTTCGGGAAAGGATTCTACGGCTAAACTCGTATTGACCAAAAGGGTATGTCGAGTATTTCGTGCTTCTTATAAATGAGAGGAACCCCACATCGGTTGTCTCAGAGTGACGTCACAACACGCACGCTGCTGCTCTTTACTTGCCCCTGTTTTGATGCACATTTTTAATTTGTCTCTTGCACAAGGACACTTTCCCGAGCTTCGGAAAGTGTCTGTAGTTGTTCCTATTTTTAAAAACGGTGATTCGACATTGGTTAATAATTACCGTCCTGTGTCATTGTAGTTTTGCAAAAGTTTTTGAAAAAGTAATATATAAACGTGTTTACTTCTACCTTAGCCCAATGATATCTGCATCTCAACACGGTTTTTTAAAGGCTAGGTCAGTTGAGTCAAATTTATGCTCGTCTTTAAGTTACTCTGCACCAGTGGTGTCAAGTAGGGGACAAGTAGATGCAATTTATTTTGACATGTCGAAAGCGTTCGATTGTGTATGCCATAATTTACTGCTACAGAAGCTTGCCTTGCATGGTTTCAGCCCGCATCTTTGCGCGTGGTTTTCCACGTATCTCGTTGGTCGTCGAAACTCTGTTCGCATTTCTGATAGCTACTCTGACGAGTTTATTTCAAGTTGTGGTGCACCCCAGGGATCCATCCTGGAACCACTTTTATTTCTTTTGTTCATAAATGATCTTGCTTCCCGTATTACAGATGCAAAAATTCTTTTATTTGCCGATGATGTTAAGCTTTTTATAAGTGTGAGGTCACTATCTGATTGCTCCCGTCTTCAGGCTGACATAGAACGTGTTTCTGAATGGTGTGCCAAAAACCGCTTGTCACTTAACCCCAAGAAAACTAAATCAATTGTGTTATCCAGAAAGCGTGACATACTTTATTTTTTATATAATTTGGAAGGGGCCCCGATTCCTCGGGTTCCTTTTATCAAGGATCTTGGTGTATTCATCGATAGTTCACTATCCTTTAATAATCACGTGTATATAACCGTTAATGCAGCACTGAGAGTGTTGGGAATGATTTCACGGTTGTGTCGCCAGTTTTCTACGCCCCGTTGTTTACTGCACTTGTTTAAGACATTAGTGAGGTCAAGATTAGAATTTGGCTCAATCATTTGGAATTCATTAACGTTATCTCAGGCTCTTTCGATAGAAAATATACAAGAACGAATGATTAGAATTGTGTATGACCGTTATATTGGAAGGAAATATTTTTACCATTATGAAACGTTACTTGTTCGATTTGCGTTGCGCAAGCTTGCTGTGCGGAGGCAATACAGAAATTCTATATTTCTTCACAAAGTTGTACACGGAGAAGTGAATTCAATTGATCTGTTGCGTTTCATAGACTGTCATGTTCCGTCAAGGGTCAGTAGGAATGTGCTAACCTTTTACCCATCTTGTATGTCATCTGTGTCTCCTTTATCGAGAATCCAATTAGCATTAAATAAGACCCATGTTGACATTTTTTTTTGTTCAAACCAGTTTATGTTCTATGTGCGAAAGTGGATGTCCTTGAATTACCTATTGTAAGGCGGGTTCTGTATAGTCTTTCAGTTTCTGTTATCTGTTTATATTTTCATTGTGACAAGTATCTTAATGTTTGATATAGTGCTGTGTTTTAATTTTCTTTGTGTGCACCACATCATAGACTGTAAAGTTGTTTGTGGGCGCGTAAATCAAAGATTTATATTTTGTATTATTATTATATACCTGGCAAATCGCTGGTAGAAGTGTTTTTTGCAAGTTTATGTAATATTCATTTGTCAAGTTATTTTCTTGTCTTCTCCCGGCCTAATAATAATGCCCACAAATAACATCGAAAGTAATTTGATAAGTATGTAACAACACTTATTGTCTCGCTTGCGTTTGCATAGCAACAAGGCGTCATCTCTCTAAAACATATCTGAGAGAGTTCACAACGTTGACAAGATGATCGGCCGCAAGCCAACGAGAATTTTACGTATAAAAAAAGGAAAAAGAGCGCAAAAAAACAAAACAAAAAAACAAAACTAAAAAAGGCAAACAGAAGTAGAGGGACACGACGAATGCTTACTAGCAACAGACGACTTACTTCTCTTCGTCTTTGCTTTTTTTATGTGTGCTCCGCTTTTTTCAGTTAGTGAAACCAACTAGCTCACCAATTCATTTCGATTCATCTGTGTACAGACAAACACGCTAAACTCACTGATAACCTTAAGAAACTTAAGGCCACATGACTTATTAAATTCACGCTCGGCGCTCGCTACGCCCAGCGATTGTTAAGCTATACCAGCGACCGTACGGAACGCAAGTTCGTCCGCTTCTTGCGAACCTTTTGTGTGTTTGTTTATGCCCCAAATGCGCCCCCGTGCGCTTGTTTCCTACCCCGACCCCAATCAATGATGGCGTGAGCTTGGCTGCTTCGCAATCGCGCGTTCTCTACGCGTCATCTATGTTGCCCTTTGATTGGCGGGTTCCCTTCTTGCGTTCCGAAGCGTCAAAGACGCATTTTAGAACACTTGCTCGCCGTACAGTTTGTACTTAAGGGTGCATAGGAACAATATTCGTCAAGACTTGAATATTTTCACTACACAGTAAAGCTTTTCTCTCTCTCTTTCTTGCGATTACGTAAGGCAAGCGTGAGAAGGTGTCAAATTATCGCGACCTCGCTGTCCGTTTCGTGTTGAAATTGACGCACAATTGGTTCCCAAGTCCGCGCATGCAGGCGTCAATGCCTGTACACTCGTCCTTGAGTTCCGAGCACGGAAAGTGCGGTCGCTCGTAGTTATCCAATCCCCTGACCTTATTTTTTTTTTCTTTTGTTCGTTTCCACCCTCGTTGCATTCGCGCATTTACCGGAACCACCCGGGCGTGACCGCTCAAACATGTGGGGCTAGCTCGCCTTTACCGGGACGAAAACGTTTCTTTCCGGAATGCAGACTTTGGGCTTTACTAGGCTGCCTAAATGTAGGGAAAATCGTGGATGTTTTTCGATGCAATCGCACGTTCTATTTACCCACTTGTTTGTGTGTTGTTGTTTATTTGCGTCGTTTCTTTTCTAGATAGACCCGTGGAAACCTGGATGAACCGTCGGATGGCTTCGGTGTAACTTCCTGCAATAAACTCTCCTCAGCAGCCCTCTTTCTTTGTTACACCTGCGTTATATTTGGAATGGAGAGCGTGCCGGTAAGGATGCTATAAATAACAGGAAGAACATGAAACACATGGATGGACAAGGCGATCGTCACGCTCGTCTTTGCGTTTTATGTTCTTCGCATTATTCGTACCACCTGCGTCGTCTTCTGATTCATTCGCGAGTATGTTCTACATGGTGCCTCTGCGCGCTATCCCGGCGTAACAAGATTCACATAAATAAACCAATAAACCGAATTCTACGAAACTTTTCAGTAAGGTGTCTTTAGGTGATGGGTTTATCATACTGAACATTTATAGTTGTAGGTTTCTGGAAACAATTTAAGCATGAAGAAAATCAGTTTTTTGCTTCACTATAAAAAGAAGGAAAACGACAAAAAAAGCCTGGTGGACGTGTCACCATTCACAAATGGCACAACATAAAGCAAAAACATGAAAGCTTCTTTGAGATGATTACCCGAAGCAGATCCAGCCAATTCGAGTCTGTGTAGTATCCATATGCAAATATAAATCTGTTCGCCAGATTTTTTTTTTTTTTTCATTTTCCTCTTTTCATAAATTAAGAAAAGAAAAACGTTTGTTTTTAGGTCTATTATTTTTTTTCTGAAACGTACACTCATAAGTTCTCAGTATGATTCATGCACCACCTATAGAAACCTTTGTGGAAACGTCCATTGCACAGTTTACATGTTTATTTAAACGAATTGTCTCAATCCTATATAGTCACTGCGATGCTTATGAAACGCAGGTACCTGCAGCGAGTCCCGTGCATACAATTAGCGCTCCGCAGCCAATGAGATTGCGGCATGAGCTGTTCAGTACGCGGAAGACCGAATAACGAAGCAAGAAACGTGTACACAATAAACCACTTCCTGCTTTCGTTAACGGAACACTGCAATGAAAAGAAAAAACCACAACATTTTTTAAACGTTTATTTGGGACACGTACAACTAAAAAAATAATTTGCCACGGAAAAAAAAAAAAAAGGTTCGCTCAATATTTACGTTATTAGACGCAATTTAGGTGGAAGCCACGGCCGGCTCTAAGCCCCGCCCACAAATCAGTGGCCCCGCCCTTTACTACTGGACTGGCTTGGCTGCTCGACCGAACACGCTAACAAGCCCAGGGTCTCCCTTTCGTGAAATCCGGTGCGCCCAGTCTGCAGTCTGACACCACCTGGCAGTCGTGCGAGCAGACGAGCGGCTGCCTCCGGCATCGTCTGCTATTTTACCGCCGTCTATCGTCATCTGTAGTGCCTGTGAGACTACGACACGAAAGATGCGCGTGGGCGTCCGCTTTCGCCTCCATCCGTCTGCTATTCCGCCCTTGTCTAAAAAACGATTCTACAGCGCTCACCACGAAAACGGCGTTCTAACGTTCTATCATGCACGAGCTGCGGTCAAATAAAAGCTTCGGCCAGCACCTATCGATGTGGGGTAATAAGCGACCGAGAGAACTAAAAATAAACCAACAAAATAATTATGCAGCCCGTTTTAGCTTTATTGTTCTTGCTGTTTTCACGTGGCACCTGCTAGCAAGGTGAATGAGCGTCGTGACGCAGAATTCAAAAGCGACGTAAAAATAATCGCCTTGTTAGGCCAGGTGCACTGCAAAACTGGAGAGCGAAATGATGAGAACAATCCTGGACTTACTTGATGCGAGCCGAACGCCCGGTTGCCTCCAGCCAAAATGGCTCCCAAATTCTTACCACATGTGAAGGTATCTCCTCAGAATTGAAATGAAACCGTGATCCCCATCATGACAGTTTCACAATTCACAAAGGAACGGGGCCGCATTTACGGGAATCAACCCCTTAACTCGGAATTAACACGCGCAACCGAACAAATCAAGCGTGATCGAGCAACCTAGTCGACGTGGGAC